AAAATGTTTTAAAAAGATAAAATGGAATCATAAAAAAATGCAACTAATCCAAAATAAGAGAGAAAAGAGGAGAAAAATATACAACTAATCCAAAATAAAACAGACAAGAGGAGAAGCAGATGGGGCAAACAGCAAATAAACAGCAATCATATCAATAATCATATTAAAATGTAAATGAACTAAACAAGGAAAGGCAAAGGTTATCAGATTGGAAAACAAACACGAAGCTGAAAAGAAAAAAAACTACTCGTTAACTACAAGAAATAAAATTTAAATATAAAGACACAAATAGTTTGAAAGTAAAAGAATAGAAAAAGATATGTCATTCTAGTATTAATCAAAGAAAATGGAAGTGACTATCTCAATATCAGACAAAGCAGATTGCTGTAAGTAATATTACAAGAGAAAAAAAGGTTTGTTTCATAGTAAGAAAGCAGTTACTTTATCAGGAGTACATATCAATCCTAAATGTTTATGCAGCTAGTAATAGATTCATAAATATATGAAGCAAAAACTTAGAGAAGTGAAAGGAAAAATAAGTAAATCCACAAATAGAGTCAGATATTTCAACACCTCTTTCAATAAATGATGGAACAAGTACATGCACAAAAAGAAAAATTACTAAAGAGTTAGAAGACAAACATTATTTTTTACTTCACTTTGCTGAATTGGCATTTAGAGAACACTCTACCTAGCAACAGCAAAATACCCTTTCCAAGTCCACCCAAAATATTTACCAAGATCAACCATATTCTAAGCCATAAGGCAAGTCTCAACAAATTTAAAAATACATAAATCATACAAGGAAAGGTCTCTGACCATAACAAAATTAAACTAAATAGAGGTAACAGAAGGCCTTTGCAAAATCTCCCCAGATTCAGAAACTAAATAATACACTTTTAAGTAACCCATGGGTCAAAGAAGGAATTAACAGAAAATTAGGATGTATTTCCTGTGGGATAAAAATGTACAGAAGACATATCAAAATTTGTAGCAGTACAGCTAGAATAATAAAATGTATAGTGTTAAGTGCTTATATTAGAAAGAGAAGTCTCAAATCAACTCTCCTAATATCCACTTTCAGGGACAAGGAAAAGAACAGCTAATGCAAATAAATAACAATAATAATAAAAGAGCAGAAATCAATGAAACAGAAAATAGAAAAATAAAAATTTATTGAACCAAAAGTATATTCTTTGAGAAGATAAGCAAATTTGATAAACATCCAGGAAAAAAAGTGAGGTGATATAAGCCAATATCAGAAATCAGACAGGAGACATTATAGATACTGTAACATAATAAGAGAATATTCACTGGCAAGTACTAGCAAATAAGAAAATAATTTGAAGGTGTAAATTCTTCCTAAATTCATGACTAGATACAACATAATCACAATCAAAATCCCAATAAGCTATTATGTACAAATTGATAAGCTGATCCTGAAATTCACACGGAAATTCAAAGGGTGTAGAAATACTCTGGTTGCTCTTCAGATCATATAAATCACCTTTTAAATAAAAAGTTTTGAAACAAAAAGAATAAAATTGGAATATTTACACTACCTTATTTTAAGACTACGTATAAATCTATAGTAATCAAGATAGTATGGTATTTTTATCAACAGACAGATCAAACAAAACAAGAGTTCAAAATATGTAGAGATGGTCTATTGTCACATACTTATAAAAGTTAACTCAAAATGTGTCAGAGAACTAAACATCAAAGTCCCAACAACAGTATCTACCACACAGAGTCGTGATAGGATTAAAATTTAGCAGAGTGTCTAGGACATGGGAAAACTCAGTAAGTGGTATTTGTCAATATGGAATTCTGTAGAATAAATCATTAAGAAATGAAATATTTTACTTACAGTATAATCAGAAGTGATGCTAGGGACAATGATAGCTATCTGTCTCAATGTGGCTAAAGACCTAAAATAGAACAAAAATCCTATTATACACAGAGACTTAGAAATAACCTTATATATAGGTCATAAACTTCCCCCCAAAAAACTTATCACATGTTCTCAGGTTTATACAAAAATAGCATATAATTTTCTTCAAGGCATTATAAGTCAATTGGAAATTAACTGATTATTCAACAGTGACATCGGAAAAAATACCAATTAGGGAGGGAAAAAAATCAACATCAAAACTGAATTCAAATCAACACACTAAAATAAGTTCTGAATGTTTATATGTGAAAACACCAAAATTCTATGAAGAAGAGAATCTTAAATTTAAAAACAGTGGGAAAGCTTGCAAGGAAAAATAAATAAAATTCACAAAACATTTAAATTTTTATTAAAAAATGAGTAAAATTTTACCCAAAAAAGAAATTTTTCTAGATAAAAGCTCATGATATAAACAAATAACTATGTGGGGAAAGTACTTCCACAAACACTGATCCTATATATATTAAGTATGAAATAAGCTTAAGTAAAGTATTTTAATTTTATTTTACTTTTAAGTAATCTCTGCACCTATTGTGGGGCTCAAACTCAACCCCAATATCAAAAGTCACATGCTGTACTGACTGAGCCAGCCAAGTACACCTTAAATAAATACTTTTAAAACTAAGAATATTGTAGATAAATGAACCAAAATATGAATACGTATTTACACATGAGGAAAAAATGCCTAGCCTCATGCTCAAGCACAAATGTGCGTGTACAAATGTCATACAAAGATATACAATTTTTCTTGTGGGAACGGGAATTTTTTTATGTTCAAAGCATTTTCTAAGGTGATAACAACGACTATGTACGTACAGTCAGGATTCTCTACTAGTGTTAGAAACTCAATTCAAACCAACTTAACAAAAAAGAAAACATAGAGGAGGAAAAGACAAGGAGTCGGGAGGGAAAGAAAAGAAGTTGATGTGTTGGCTCATCTAAGTGAAAAATAGAGGAGTAGCATTCACGGGGTTGGAGTCACAGGTGGACCTGCCTACTAGTCAGAATTCAGCTCTCCCTTCACCATCCCTCAGTCTGTGTCCATGTGGCGGACAAGTTCCCAGGCGGGTAGACTTTTCATGCTAGATAATAGGACCAACAGCACTTCCAGTGTACCTGGTTCTCCTCATAGTTCACAATTCTGAATGAAAAAAGAGAAACTCTCCTGATTATTAAAAAAAAAAACAAAAACAAAAAACCTATGGTACCCCAGCCTGGGTACCATACTGACCCAGAATGAACTGCTGTGTTACTGTTTCTATATGGGGAAGCCAGGGAGGAAGTACTCTACCTGACTGTCCATGAAGGCAATGTACAATGGCAACCCCACATGAATCACAAGGTGGAAGGAAAGCAAATTCTCAAAAGAAGGGGATACTAGAAGAATAACTTAGAACACACTCTTCCATATAGCAGAAGAGTGAATTGATCCAAATTCCTGGAAAGCGACTTGAAAATCTGTATCAAGAACTCTAAAATGTTCCTTTCCTTTAGCACAGGGCTGAATCTCCTTGAAAACAGGGATTTTATATATCTATTATATTATATAATTATATATATAATATATTACTTATATATATTTATTTTATATATATGTTTTTGAATTATAGAACCAAAAAGATTAATATAAAAGGAGAAAGCAATAAATGATGAATAAAGGAACAAGTAAATAATTCCTCTTCTTGGATTCTACCTTAAGGAAATCAACCCAAACCAATATATGGATTTTAACACAAAAACATTTATTGTAGCCAAAATGACAAAGGACAACAGACACATTAGGTTAACTAGAATAAGAATATTAGTTGTCATTAAAAATAATGCTTACAAATAATTTTACTAACATGGGAAATGCTTATTACACATGTTAAATGAAAAATACAAGATAAAAATATATATTATGTCTATTCATATGAATATATAACATTTATTCATACATTAGAGGAAAATACACAAAAATATTTATAACAATCATTTCTCCATGTATGGCTTTCTTTAATATTCATGCTTCTTATTCCTATATTTTCAATTGTCAAAAGCAAGTATGTGCTTTTTTAAAAACCAGAACAACAAACAAACTCATTAAGAAATAGTTGACAAAACACTGCTCTTCAACACGTTGTGATTTGAGGGTCATTATACAGAGAGATGGGTGTCCAGATAGGACACTGTTTTCAGAATAGCCTCCAGGGACAAAGGGGTTCAAGGCAATGGATCAAAATAGAAGAAATGTTACTGAAGGCTGCATTTCGAAAAGTGCTCTTCGGGGGAGAATCCAAACTTTAGAAAAACCGAAACTATCATGAAATAAACAATAAAATAAGTCAAATCTAAAAGTCAAGAAATGCAAACAAAGAAGATAGACTCTAGTAGGCTCTGTAGTAGAAGTTGTCACTTCTTAAAGATGCCACCCTCAGTTAAAGGGGCAACGCCCCCAAAAGCAAACCCAACTGAATGTTCCACATTGCTAAAGTTTGAAATGATAAACAGGAAGGCTGACATCAGTGGTGATGGTGTGCATTTCTTGTCTGAAGGAACGAAGAGATTTATTCTCTCATGACTCGAAAGAAAGACAAAGATGTACTTGCTGGCTTTTTGTGTGTCTCTACCCTACACCTTGTACTGCTTTTCTTTCAGAATGGAGCGTACTGAGGGATTAGATCCAGAAGATAAAGGGCTCTAACAGGTCATAGAAGACAGAGAGCACAGGTGGCAGAACTGATTCTAAGATTCAGGTGGCAAATTTCAACTCAGAGCTGATGAAAGGGAACCTGTCCATCCTCACCGCACCTCCACACACAGACCACAGTATGATTTTGGTGGAGAGAGCACAGGCTTTTGCATGAGCTAGTTCTCTAACCAGAACCTTCTACGCTCTCCTCTGCACCTAGTTAACTCCTGCCCAAACTACACACTCAGCTCTATGGTCACATCCCAAACCTTCCTGAGCAAGCTAGATGCATAGTGAGTGCTGTGCCAGGGGCTTGACCTTCACAGAACTTGTCTCATTTGTAATTTATATGTCTTTGGGATGACTTGATTAATATCAGTCTTCTCTGTAAATTAAAATTCCATGGATTTCTGATGTCTAGTACAGTGCCTAGAATACAGAAAACTTGTAACAACAACAAAAGAATTTTCAGTGAAGGAATGAAGGTAGAGGAGAACCACTAAGCTTTCCCCACAGTGCAAGAATGTCGTTCCTTCTTGTCAGGTCCCCAGAGCAGAGATGGTGGCAGATGGTCATCCTCGAATCGCTGGCAGGCAACAGTTGACAAAGCAGTCCAACAGAAAGGAGGGGACCAAACGGTAGAGGCTCCTAGACCAGAGGAAAATAACCAAGTCACAAAAAGCACATCCATATAGCAATATAGCCCTCTGCAGTAGTATAGTACACATGACCCAAGATCTCTGCAGCAAAGCCTCTCATTCCTATAATCACATGAGTCTTGCCCTAGTGGAAGATGGAAATGCAGATTTACCATGAAGTAAATTCACCTGTCCTCTTAACATTCTTAGTCCTCTTCCCCCTTCCACCCAACATCCTCATACTTTTTTCTGTTCTTTCACAAAACCCTCAGTTCTAGGGCATCTCATTCTGTCAAATGGAGGAAGAGAATGTCTCAGGACCCTTGCACTGTACAGCAAGTTGCTCCAAGGTCAAAGCCCCAAAGTCCCCTGAGGTAGCAGATTCAGAGTACTTGCCAATTAGCTTGGCATCTCCCTCTCCCACCGCAACCAAATCCCTGGCACACAGCTGTTTGTGTGGGCTTCAAAAGGGACTGTTCCTGAACTCTTATCCTTTTCATTTGGGTTCTTGAAAGAGAAGGAAAGGGGAAAGAAAAAGAAGAAGGAAGACAAGAAGAAACTGGTGAAATCAGCCAAACCAAACCATGTTTTGCCTTCATAACCTCTAAGTGAGTCGCTAAAGGCAGGAAATGATGTGGTGATGATGGTGATGGTGATGACGATGATGATATGATGAGGAAGGGGAGAATGAGGGGCAGGAGACAGAAGTTAACAGATATCCATCCACAGGTAGTGCCCCACCACTGTGCTATCTCTGGTCAGCTTACCAGGTGCTGCAGACAAAGCCTTAGTCCAACCCTGAGTGAGTGATGGTTTCATGACAAATCTCTGGTGAAGTTCTTGAACTGTCCTAGTTGGAAAAACTACCACGGAGACTGCTGCCCTCGATCCATGTCATTCTGACTTTGGGGACGCTCTTTCTCTCCTGCAGCCCAGAACACAACCTTGCTCCGAGGAGACTGCCTCAGGACGACTTCTAGATCACTCTCCTCTAACAAGCAACGGAACTTCTAGAGAACCACCTGTAAGAATCAATCCATTGTGACAAACATCTGAATTTCTACTACACAGAATAAGCTAAAAGTGAAGGCAACACTGTTGCTAACTGCCGTGTTTTTACCCTATTGTAAGTCAAGCCTATATCTAGCCTTTACAACCCTGCTCTTTGGAGACAAAAAGTCCTACCTGGCTGGGGTAGCCTAACTAGCTTAACTAATACTTTCTTTTTGCATTATAATATCTGATGTCTAAAATCCTAGGGACAATCCACAGACTTTGAAAGAAATATGGGAAAAGCCCATAGAGGCAATGGAGTCAGTCAATTAAGTCAGTCCTGGGCTCCAAACTCACTCTCTTGGAAGGAAACAGCTTCTCAGAATACAAAAAATTGGCTATTTACCTTCCAAATTTATTTGTTTTTATTGACTTGACTATGGAAGCCAAAAAGAAAAAAAAAAAAAAAAAAAGGAGGAGGTGGTGTCAGGCCATCAGCAAAAAGTTTAACTCTGTGGATCTATGTTGCACCAATTTGTGTCCCCTGCCTAATGTGCCAGTATCAATGGAGAAAAATGTCCATAAAAGGAAAAATAAAAACATATTAAAGACAAAAAAAAAAATCTTTGCAAGCAACCTCTTTACTTAGTAGAAAGCCACAACTTTATGACTTTTTCAGCAGAGACAGAAGTGTATTTTTTAATTCTCTCATTCCTTGGGGGCATTAAAGACACACTATAAATCAGTGGGCTGTCAATCAGTCATGAAAGGCTTAAGAAACGATGACATAAATGACAGGAACATGATCTATAGCCATGTTTTTAAACCATAGACTAATTTTTAATTCTCCAAACCTTATGTAACAAAAAGCACTTTCTGAAAAACAAGGGAAGAGTTAACATCTTAGGGAGGAGAGGGAACACTTTGTGTTGGTTTCCAGCTCCCAATCTCGTCCAAACTGAATATTACATACAAATCTGCATTTGTGAGAAAGCCTCATCTACCAGTTAATCAAAGCCCTGGAAATTCAAGGAAACCTGTGTTTATGGAAATCTGGCATTTCTGTAAAGTTTTGAATGAGGGTTAAATAGAGCAGTTCATCTCATTTTGAAACTAATGATTCCTGCCAAGTGGTTTTCCAAAGCTGGGTCTTCTGGCTCAGTCAGCATTTAGGAATTCATTTATGAGTTGGGTTAGTCGGAGACTCTGGAATTCAAATTTATGTCTGCAACTCACTACTTTGCTCCTGATAGGTCTCTGAGAAGAGATTGTAATCAGTTTACCAAACCCAGACTTCAGGAAATTTTCATATCCCAAAAAGAAGTTCTGGTTTGGAGCTTTGTCCATTCTCTGGATTAGCCCCTCCCCCTTCACTTCATGCTAAGAGCTGAGTCCTGCAGGCAGCAGGAGCATGCTTAATTTCTATGGTGCTTTCCCCAAAGTTCATCCCTCCATTCAGTCAGCCTCACTGGGTGCTGGAATTCACCTCCCTTAATAGACTTGCCAGTGGTTTATAAAATGGCGGAATATATATGTGTTTTGTCACCTCGAACAGTTTCTGTGCTATCCATCTATTTCTTGATGGAAGTAGCAAAAGTTCTGATAATTATTCATCTAATTTCTTTCAAAGATTTATCTGTCCAGAAATTTTCCAAGAAATTAGAATATGGGTAGGTGTTCAGGGTGTGTGTGTGTGTTGCTCTCCATCTTACAAGGCCACACTTTCTCTCTCAAGGCAAGGAGCAAGCATAGAACAGCCTTTCAATGTAACCATAAATTTACTACTTTAAAAATTTTTTTTCCTTTGAAGAAGTCATCAAATAAATTAGCAAAGCTGGAAATGTGCCTTTAGTTTGTGTTGGCTTTGGGTTTTAGGGAGTTACTTAATAAACAAAAGTCAATGAATTCAAACAGTAACAAAGTAATTTCAATGATTAATCAAGTGTTAAAACTAGTTTAACCTCTCCTGTTTTACAAACTCTATATCACCCTGACTAAACTAATAGAGGAATAGGACACCCATCTGGAAATCTCATCTGAAATATTAGATTGGGAATCTAAAATTCAGCCAAATCATGTGGCTTGTAGGGATATCCTGTCGGATAATAAATTGCATTAATCTTACTTAAATTTTCCATCTAAATCATGTCCTGAGGCCATATTACTCTGAGGAAACTATGCCTTACTTTAAATGCATTGTGCTACTGAAAACGATATTAAAAGAAGGGGGGGAAAGAAGGTATGTTTTTTTTCTCCTGTTTTTTCCAACATTAAAAAATTCATGTGAAACCTTCTGACTCTTCTAGAAGTACTAACGCTGGCTCACTAGCTCTTTACAGTCACCGGTAGGAAACAGTGTTGGTCCCAGGGCAGTTTCAGGAACTTTATCTGTTTTTCCCCACCTGTGAGCCCTGAGCCTTGGTGGCTTATAGCAAATACTGTGAGGGTGGGGGCGGGGGGATGTTTTAAGGTCGGGGGAAGACATCATTTTCTTAGCTTCTTTTTGACTTTCACATATGGAGAACTGCAACCAGTGTCTTTGTTGGAGATTTCACTATGGTCTCCTTATTCCTTTCTCTTCTTTTAATAGAAAATATCTAAATCTGCTTCAATTTTTCAACCATTAAAAAAAAAAAGTTGCCAAGCGGAGTGGGGTGGGGGGAGTGGGGGATCTCACTGTGGCTTTCCTAGAGCTGCCAGAAGGGATCCTGCCGGCACTAAGGCCCCTCCCAGCTCTGTGCCCTTGTCTGCCACCTACTATACACTGTAAATGTTAAGTGAACTAAAAGGTGTTAGAATAATGTTGACTCAAAGTTAAACACACAAACAAACCCTCAGAAACGCTGAGTCACCTCTGCTAGTTCAGAGTGTCTGCTCTATTTGCCTTTCCAGGGAGAGCCCCACCATTCCCTCACACTCTGGAAAACGGCTGAGCAGGGAGAAGAACACGGAGCCATTGCAGGAACAATGCCACCCTCTAGAAGCCCAGCTAACCAGGGTCCTTGGCCTCTATCTCCAACGTGGCCCTAACAGCATGTTCCAGGCCTGAGGTCACTTTCACCACCTGCAGATGAGGAAGAAGAGCCAGAGGAGACACTCATCTGCGGGCTGGGCCTCCCTCACCTCACAGCGATGGATAGAGCTAGAACCAGAGCTGAGTTCTCAGGCGTCTGACAATCTAGCTGCTCGTGGGTGAAAGGAAGGACATTCATTTCCAGGCTTCTCAGAGAGTAGATGCCACAGAGGCCCCTCAGGGCAGCCTGCCACACTAAGGGGAGTCGGAGGCAGCAGCATGCACTCAACTGCCAAAGCCAGAAATCTCGCTGTCCCCCGCCCCTGACTCCTTCCTCTCCCTAGTCTTCTGTGTCCTAACAATTCCAGCACCTTCAGAACTTTAAATGAAAAACACTTCTAGAGCCATCAGTCCTTTCCATTCTCACTGCCATACCCTGGCCAAGTCCACAGATGCCCCCTTCTAAGCAGTCTCTGGACACTAAGAGCATCGCCCTCCTCTTCTCCTTCCTCCCACTATTGCCAGAATGATTGTTCTAAAGCCCTCTGTGCTAGTGACCCCCTCAGCCCTCCCCACAGGCTCTCATTACCCACAGGATAAGCTCCCATGATGGAAATGCAGCTCCTGCCCCAGTCCCAGTTGTGTCCCACACCACCCACCCATCTCCACTCAGACTTGAGGATCCAGTGACTCGAACTCAGTAAACAGCATCAGCAAATATCATGTGGTCTCCTGTACGCTCTTTGACCTATTCCCTCTACCTGTAAGAACCTTTCCTGCTCCCTCATCACACCCACCACACACAGACTTCCTGGTGGGAATGAATCTTCTGGCTCTAACACTCACCTGTGCTCCCCCTCATTGTTCCCTCCTCCCATGTCTCAAGGTCGAACTGGGTTCTAGACCTTTGGGCTTCCATAGTGCCCTGGGCACACCTCTGGCCCAGTACTAAGCACAGCCTATTGAAATAATTCATGTACAGTGTCTCTGACTGGGCTAAGACCCTTCAGGGGAGGACCTCTTCTCACCCCCCTTCGTTCTCCAACACCTCACTCTGTGCTCTGCAAATGCACAACGAGTGTTGAAGTAAGCCCAGATTCTGCTTCTGTTTTAGTGTCTTATCTAGAAGTCTTTGGTATTTCAGACAGATTGTAATTACATTTTTTTTTCCTGAGGGAATTTTAGCGGGCCTGCTTATCTAATGGTTTCATTTCCCTTCCATCTCCCACAACTCATTGCTCCTTCCTCCTTAACTTCCCGTATGACCCTACCCAGGCAAACTAGAATGTACTCTATACTCATTTTTTTTTTTTACCATAACTACTAGTCCTTCTATTCATGAGTTCAGGATATATCTCCCTTAAAGAGTTCTCTGCAAACCTTGCCTAATTCCACCGCACCCCCACACAGCCCAACTGTTCTGACCATCCTTGAGCTTCAGCTCTGTCTGCTCATAAGCTTCTTCTGGGCTCCTGACACTTGAAATCTTGAGCACCTCCAATGGCTTGTTCCATGATCTTTGATCTCTGAGGGCAGAGACTGCATGTCAGCTGAGTGTCCTCAAGAAGCACCCTGGAGGCATAGCTCACCACACGAGTGACTAGAGCTGACTCCAGAAAACACTGCTCTGTTTTTAGTCACTGAAAATTCCTGGGTCTAGTGTGGCAAAGCTGTGTTAGATGTGAACGGTTTCAAGTAGAAATATTACAGACCACCAACATAGAAGAAACCATCTGCTCAGCTATCACACAGTCCTGCCAGTAGAGGATTACTCAGAGCCTACTGTCCATTACTCTGTTTCAACAAGCTACTCTCATAACATTCTTTGAGGTTAGATGCTCCCACTGAAATGAATAATGGCATAGTTTATGGTAAAGGGTGAACTGAAAAAGAGTGGTGTCATTATTGCTGTAAGTACCCACAAAAGATGTTTATTATCATACATGGACACAGCCACAAACACACAACTCATTGCTAATAAACTCATTTATTTCCACATAAAGTTGCACAATGTTGTGCAATCCAGCGGAGGGCTGAGAAATGTCAGCAATTCAGACAGGGGCTATTTGTCAACAAAACCAATCCATTTCGCCAGCTTCAGCAAACCATTGCTGCAAGAATCACCTTTTTTTTTTCCATAGAAGCAAATGGTCACACACAACCTTAAATAGAAAGGACAGATGCTCATAACCACACAGACAAAGCAAACATTACAAGCTGAGGTGAGATTTAAGGGAAACTCAGAGGTTGTAAGGTAGAGAAAGAAAAGGCCATTTTGTTGCCTGAGGTGACCAGACCCTCATTTTGTCTGTTACTGTAAGAAAACATATCAAAGAAAAAAATAAAGAGAAAAGAAGGAGAGGAGAGTTCTCACTTATTACAAAATGATTTTTTTAAAAGAAACCTAAGATTTTTTTTTAATATCCCACACACATTTATTGTGGGTTTACTATATACCAGATACTGTGCTAGGTACTTGGAACCTAAAAATAAAGCTGAGCTGAAGGACTAATAAGAGAAAGAAACAGGCACGGATCATGATAATACAAGATGACTGATTATGATAGAGATGGGTCATTAGGAACTACAAGCTTAGAGGAGAGGCATTTCTAGTTTGCCTCTGGTAGACTTTTTACTCAAGCCACAGCCTGTCTGCCTAATTTGTTTTTCTTACAATAGTCCTTGTAGGTCTTGAAAGTAAATACCTGAAACTATTTGAGGGCAAAAAACTACATATGAAAAGCAAATAATTATTGCCATGACTCAAAGAGAAGCAAGGTCATTCAGAGGAAAGAGACCATGAAATAAAGCCAGAGAAATTTGGGAAATGAGAACACCCCAGGGGCTGTCATTTCACTTGTGGTAATGAGAATTCAAGAATCAATATAGAAGAAGCTGTGTCAAACTTGACTGGAATGAGTTCTGTGACAAAAAATAGAAAGCCTCTCAACTTGATTCTCTTCCTTCCCCACCACTGTATTTTTTCCTTTTCAATTCATTCATGCCCCCCTATAATCACCTACTGGTCTCAGGGCTACTCATGAGGAAAATTTTGCATTCCTGATCCTTCCAGGGTTCAAACCTAGCTTAGGGAGATAATACCAAAAGTGTAGGAACCAATGTGACACAGAGGTGAGGGCCCCAGAAGTTGAGAACCAAGAAAGACCATCACTAACCAAAGCTGTTTGTGAGAATGAGGAGTTGGATATTCCAAGGGAAGGAACAGCAACAACAAAAAAGACTCAAAGTCCAAAATACCAAAGTTGAAAAAATTTTAAAAAGTTGGAATTAGGGGTGCCTGGGTGGCTCAGTGGGTTAAGCCTCTGCAGTGGGTTAGGCCTCTGCCTTTGGCTCAGGTCAAGGTCTCAGGGTCCTGGGATCGAGCCCCACTTTAGGCTCTGTGCTCTGCGGGGAGCCCACTTCCCCCTCTCTCTCTGCCTGCCTCTCTGCCTACTTGTGATCTCTCTCAAATAAATACATAAAATATTCATTTTATTAAAAAGTTGGAAATAAATCCACGAAAAGCAGAGTTCCTGTTGGGGACAAAACAGAAATTGCAGTTGCTAGGTCACAAGGGGGTAGACAAAGAAGAGTCCAGAAAGCCAACCATAAGGATTTGGGGAGGTAGATCATCTCTGTCCCCACTTTGAGAAATAATCGGTCCATAGAACTGACCAGACCAGCTGAGGAGGTGATCAAATCCCACATTCATGTTTGAAATCTGGGTTCTGATCAGATCCAGTATTTCCGCCCCCCCATAAAACTAAGCAAAAAACGTTTATTCTTATTAAATATCTTCCTATAAATGAGAAAGGAGATATCCAAGACCCAAGAAGATTGGGTACAATTTGCCCTTCAAGGTGCAATTCTGACTTTTCACAAGGTTTCTACTTCTTTCAGACATTTAAAGGACTGTGTTTGAAGACCCTCTGAGCCTTGTATCTTTAAGATACTCTGTGACTGAGCATAACTTTCCTCTTCCCAGATTGTGCAGCACACTCGAACATTATGCATTGCTTTGCCTTGGTGCTATACTCAGAATGATGCAGTATTGGAGCCATGTGGAAAGAATTGAGTAAGCTAGTTTCTTTTCTGTTCCCAGCTCTGCCAGTGACTGGCCACAAGGCGTAGAACAGTTCCCATCTCTCTCTGCATCAGCCTCCTTCATTGCGAGTTGAAAGGGTTAAGCTAGAGATTGCTCCGTCTCTTTCAGAACTAAAATTCCATCATAAACGGGGCCATGGAAGATTTAACTAAATCTTCCTGGCCCGAAATTCTATTGCAGAGGTTACATTTCATAAATCCTGCTATCAACGTGTTTACTTGTCAAGTGTCTCATGGACATAAAATTAGAGCTCAGACTGTGCCCTCAACAAATTTGGTCATTTAAGCTTCCCAGATGTTTAGATTCCAAATAAACAGTAGTAGGTAGTTTGAAAATGACAGCAGAAAGTCATCACTGGAGGGGAAGAAGCTAAGCTTCCTAAACCACGGCTGGGGAGAGGGAGCACTCTTCAGATGCCTTGGGCAAGGTGGCCCCAACCCAGATGGCAGCAGGACAAGTCGGTTAGAGCTCCAGTTAGAGCTCCGTATGCACAGCCCAGGGTGATCAGGGCTTGACACCCCCTAAAGGAGGGAGATAAGCTCAAGATATATGATCTGCTTTCCTGCCAGGAGCAATTTGCTTGCCAACCTCCTACTTACAAAATTTGAAGGCATTCTTTTCAGTATTAAAAGTTTGATGGGGAGATGGGTTAGCCTGATGGGTGGGTATTAAGGAGGGCATGTATTGCCTGGAGCACTGGGTGTGGTGCATAAACAATGAATCTTGGAACACTGAAAAAAATTTAAAAAAATTTTTTTTAAAGTTAGGGTCTTTGTAAATGAGGTATCTCTGCAGTGGAAAAAAAATTAAACAATTCAATTTTTTAAAGGATGAGGTAGACAGTGAGCTTATTTTATAGGTTTCCCAGTTGAAGGAGATGAAAATCAGTTTTAGTCTTCAGATTCTGGTCTGGACCTGTCCATATGAGAGGAATTTTTACTTAGGGATCAAAACAATCTAAATGTTTTTTTTTTAAATACATACATTTTAATATTCCAAAAGGCGTTGAGAATCCGACTCTTTCTTGGTTCTCACAACAACCCTATGATGTAAGCAGAGAAAATATTACTCCCATGTTAGAGATGAGGGAATAGGATGAAAAATCTTAAGTTTTTAAGATTTGGCTTGCTCAAGACTTCACAGCCAGTAAACATAAATGAGTGAGACTTGACCCAAGTTCAATTTGCTGATGCTTCTCCACACTAGTCTGTGCCTCTACACCTCAACTTTTGGTTCTCCTTTTGTATTGACTTTATAAGGTAAACAATTTTGCTGTCATTTATATTCATGTGATGTTAATAGAACAATTCTTCCCATATTAATGCATAAGCTCAACACACCCATAACCAAAATCCCAATAGAAAGCTTTTCAAATGTAGTTTTTTTTTAATTTTTTATTTAAATTTAAATTAATTACCACATAGTGTATTATTAATTTCGGAGGTAGAGTTTAGTGATTCATCAGTTGCATATGACACCCAGTGCTCATTACATCAAGTGGCATCCTTAATGCCCATCACCCAGTTCCCCATCCATCCAATTCCCTCCAGCAACCGTCAGTTTGTTTTCTAGAGTTAAGAGTCTCTTATGGTTTGTCTCCCTCTCTAATTTCATCTTATTTTATCTTTCCATCCCTTCCCCTATATTCGTTGTTTTGTTTCTTAAATTCCACTTGAGTGAAATCATCTAATATTTGTCTTTCTCTGACTGACTTATTTTGCTTAGCATAATACCCTGTAGTTCCATCCATGTCATAGCATATGGCAAGATTTCTTTCTTTTTGATGGCTAAATAACATTCCATTTTATCCATCTGTCTATCTATTTATCTCTCTATATACATCTTCTTTCTCTATTCATCTGTTGATGGACATCTGGGCTCTTCCCATATTTTGACAGTTGTGGACATTGCTGCTGTAAACACTGGGGTGCAGGTGCCCCTTTGAATCTCTATGTTTTTAACCTTTGGATAAATATCTAGTAGTGCAATTGCTGGGTCATAGAGCAGCTCTATTTTTAAACTCTTTGAGGAACCTCTATACTGTTTTCCAGAGTGGCTGTACCAGTTGCAAATACAGTTTTTAAAAATCTATTTTAAAGTACTTTGGGAAAATAAACTAGTTAAACCACTTAGTTTTAAAATGGGACTAATGAAGAAGAAACTAGTACTAGAAGTTATTAAAATGTTATGTCTATAAGAATTAAATAAGAATGGTATTGACACAAGGCTAGACAAAAACATGGAACAAAATCAATGTTTCAAAAACAGTCCTTGCTATAAATAAATATTAAATAAATGAAAGCCACAACATCACATATTAGTGGAGGATGGAAGCAGTCTCTGCAATTGATGTTAGGATGACTCATTAGATATTAATCCTTAAGTTATATTTATATTCTGAAGTCAATAAGAAACAGTAAAAACTTAAATTTTAAGAAAATTAAAAATCACAAAATTGAAAGAAAATGTTGACAAATATTTATCCAATCTGAATGGAGAAGAACTTGCTAAGTTTAAATTCAGTGGCAGAAATTACAGAAGGAAAGTATAAATGAAATATAAACATTTTAATTGCCACAGATCACAGGAACATGCTAACCAATATAAAAAAGTAAAATGGGGAAAATATTTGCATTGAATATGAGACACAACATTATATGCTCTCTCTAGGTACAGAAACCAATCAAACCAATATAAAGTTCAACATATGAACAAAGGATATGAGCAGATAACTCATGGAAAAGGAAATGTAAATGAGCAACAAACACACCAAAAATGTTCAGCCTCACTAGGACTCTCAAGGCAAATTAAGACAATATACCACATTTTGTCTATCAAGTGAGTAAAGTTTGAAAAATTATAGTCCCGATGCTAGGAGGTAGCACCTGAGACACCATACAAGGTATGGCAAGACCACCTCACTGAACAGCAATTTGACTTTATGTCTCCAAAGCCCTCCAACTGTCCATATCCTTGACCAGGAATCTCACCTAATGAGATAATCAGACACATGACCAAAGATTTCTGGACAAAGACATCTCCTTCATAATAAAAGAAAAATGTGAAAAACAACCTGAATATTCGAAATTGTTGAATGCTTAGGAATATGATGGTTCACACAGAATATGAACTATTATGTACCTATTGAGAGGGTAACAGAGTTTTTTTTTTATTATCTGAGGAAATAGTTTTAACAAAATGTTTACTGAGAAAAGTTCAAGAAACAAAATCTATATGCAATATGAGTTCAATAATTGTTTAAATGTCTAAAAATATACAGAAAGGAACTACACACACACACACACACACACACACACACACACACACACAGTATAGAAATGCTCTTGACCTATCATCCATAGGGCTTTTACCCTTGATTTTTTTTCCAGGAGTGCACATGGATTATGCTAATCCATCAATTCCCCATTACTCATTTCCCATATGACATTACAAAATGCCTGGCCTGTCTGTAAAGGCAAGCTATAGCCATGCAACAGAACACAGAGTACTGAATCCCAAGACTTTAACTTTAGTGGACTACTCTAACCAATTGATGTGAAGAAGGTACCTATAGTGATGGAATGAACTCATTTCAATATTATAACAGTTCAAAATGAATGAACACAAAACCTATACACTGGTGAATGGCTTGTATCTAATGGATGAAAATTCATAATTTCATTTCCATCTTATTTCCAAATATCCAATTACATGGTTGAACTAATTATGTTTCTACTGATCAACAGCAGATTATTCATGGGATAATCTGTGTTGATCATGGAAATGGAGACAGTGCACAGAACTAAATTAAAACATCCAGGTTTTTTATTACTCTACTCGTTTAGAATTTCAGTTTATCACCCGAATAAAAAATAAGTCAAACAATTTAGCTTTTTCTGGAAAGTTAGCTGAATTGTTCCATTTTCATCTGGTACTGATATTACACATATGTATCTCCAAGGTACGTGACACATAAGGTCAGACAGGGTCATGGGTAGGCTTGAACTGGCTCAGACCATCTTGGTAGAGCCAATTCTGCTCACCTCTCTCCAACTCCATGTTCAGTGACATTACACTGAAAGCAGGGAATCAGCCACAGGGGAAGGTACGCACCCAGAAATCACTACATGCTAAAAATCAAGGGTTTTTGTTCCAAAGAAGATTTTTACCAGCACACCACTGCATAGTAGGCACTTAAAAATATTTGTTATTTGAGTAAGTGAGTTAATAAACTGAAAGTGTTTCTTTCTTGTCATGAATAATAGATCCCTTGGGGAAAAGGCAAACATCGGAGAAAGGCCATTCCACTAACTAGAACTTTCAAGACAAGCCTGTTCTTTTTTATTTTTTAAGGTTTTATTTATTTATTTGTCAGAGAGAGAGAGAGAGGGAGAGCACAAGCAGGCAGAGGTAGAGAGAGAAGCAGGCTCCCCAATGAGCAAGGAGCCCGATGCGGGACTCGATCCAGGACCCTGGGATCATGACCTGAGCCGAAGGCAGCGGCTTAACCAACTGAGCCACCCAGGAGCCCAAGACAAGCCTATTCTAAATAAAAAATTTGACCTCTTTCAATATATGTCTCCAAAGGCAAAGGAAACAAAAGTGAAAATGAACTTCTGGGACTTCATCAAGATCAAAACTTCTGCACAGCAAAGGAAACAGTCAACAAAACAAAGAGGCAACCCATGGAATGGGAGAAGATATTCGCAAATGACACTACAGACAAAGGAGTGATAACCAAGATCTATAAAGAACTCCTCAAACTCAACACACACAAAACAGATAATCATGTCAAAAAAAATGGGCAGAAGACATGAACAGATACTTCTCCAAAGAAGACATACAAATGGCTAACAGACACATGAAAAAATGTTCATCATCATTAGCCATCAGGGAAATTGAAATCAAAACCACATTGAGATACCACCTTATACCAGTTAGAATGGCCAAAATTAACAACATGTGTTGTTAGTAAACAACATGTGTTGGAAAGGATGTGGAGAAAGGGGAACCCTTTTACACTATTGGTGGGAATGCAAGTTGGTGCAGCCACTTTGGAAAACAGTGTGGAGATTCCTTAAGAAATTAAAAATAGAGCTTCCCTATGACCCTGTAATTGCACTACTGGGTATTTATCCCAAAGACACAGATGTTGTGAAAAGAAGGGCCATCTGTACCCCAATGTTCATAGCAGCAATGGCCACAGTCACCAAACTGTGGAAACAACCAAGATGCCTTTCAACAGACGAATGGATAAAGAAGATACGGTCCATAGATACTATGGAGTATTATGCCTCCTTCAGAAAGGATGAATAGCCAAATTTTGTACCAACATGGATGGGACTGGAAGAGATTATGCTGAGTGAAATAAGTCAAGCAGAGAGAGTCAAGTATCATATGGTTTCACTTACTGAGGAGCATAAGGAATAGCACGAAGGACATGGGGAAATGGAGAGGAGAAGGGAGTTGGGGGAAGTCAGAGGGGGAGACAAACCATGAGAGACTGTGGACTCTGAGAAACAAACAGGGTTTTGGAGGGATGGGGGTGGGAGGTTGGGTGAGCCTGGTGGTGGGTATTATGGAGGGTATGCATTGCATGGAGCACTGGGTGTGGTGCATAAACAATGAATGCTGGAACACTGAAAAGAAATAAAATAAAATGGAAAAAATTTTTGAGTTCTCTGAGGCAAAATTCAGGAACTATTAGACTCTAACTTCTTAATGTTTCATCTAACTGAGTGGACAAAACCATGTCCCTTTTGAATTTAGGTATCCAGGAAAGGAAGCCTAAAATGTTTATGGATCCAAACCAACAGCTTATATAATGGAAAAAATACACCACCTCTCCCCATATATATCTGTGATTGTATAATGCTTTCTCTCCATGGAGACTAAGCAAGAACCACAAATATTTATCACCTTTTCAAGGTTCTTAAGAGTCCTAAAATTTGATCTCAGAAAATGTTAGAATAACATAAACTTTTTCTACAAAAAAAATAAATCTCTGCCACATGATAGTTACTCAGTTTCCAGATGATCTGA